ATCTAATGTGGTTCGAATTGCCTTATGTTATTAGTTGAAATGAAAGTTGATTTGAAGGGAGAAAATTTTGAGAATATTAGGATAAAAGACACTAACTTAATTGGAGCTAATTTTGTTAGATGTAATTTTAGTGGATCTGAATTTAATAATGTTAATATAAATGGAATGAATTTGAATTAAGCATAATTATTTAACTGCAAATGGTAAAACATAAAGATAGATGAATTAATTTAATTGAAGGGTCACACGAATTCAATATATTCGGTTTGCTTTTCTTTTGATGGTAAGACATTAGCATCGGGTAGTGCAGATAGCACTATTTGTTTATGGGATGTTAATACAGGTGAACAAAAATCTAAATTAAATGGTCATACAAGTTATGTTTTTTCAGTACAGTTTTCCCCGGATGGCACTGCATTAGCATCTTGTAGTAAGGATAAATCTATTCGTTTATGGGATGTTAAAACAGGACAGCAACAATCTTAGTTAAATGGTCATACAAATGATGTTAGATCTATTTGCTTTTCTTTTAATGGTTCTACCCTAGCATCTGGTAGTGATGATACAACTATTCGTTTATGGAATGTTTATACAGGCCAACAAACATTTTAATTAAATGGTCATAAAAGTTTAATTAATTCAGTTTCCTTTTCTCCTGATAGTACTACATTAGCATCTGGTAGTGATGATAAAACTATTCTTTTATGGGATGCTCATACAGGCAAAAAAAAATTTTAATTAAATGGCCATACAGATAATGTGAGGTCAGTTTCCTTTTCTCATGATGGTACTATATTAGCATCTGGTAGTGAGGACTAAACTATTCGTTTATGGAATGTTAATACAGGTCAAAAAAAATCTAAATTAGATGGTAAATTTCTTGTTTTTTCTGTATGCTTTTCTCCTGATGGTACTACCTTAGCATCAGGGGGTCAAAGTAAATTTCTACATCTATGGGATATGAAAACAAGACAATAAAAAGCAAAGATAGGAGGCAATAGTGCAACTGTGTATTCTGTATGTTTCTCTCCTGATGGAAATAGACTAGCATCTGGAAGTACGGATCATTTGATTGGTTTTTGGGACCCTAAAGCGGTAGAATAAGAAACGAAATTTGATGGTCACACGAATTCAATATTTTCAGTTTGCTTTTCCTTTGATGGTAAGACAATAGCATCTGGTAGTGCAGATAGCACTATTCGCTTATGGGAGGTTAATACAGGTCAACAAAAATCTAAATTAAATGGTCATACAAGTTATGTTTTTTCAGTACAGTTTTCCCCGGATGGCACTGCATTAGCATCTTGTAGTAAGGATAAATCTATTCGTTTATGGGATGTTAAAACAGGACAGCAACAATCTTAGTTAAATGGTCATACAAATGATGTTAGATCTATTTGCTTTTCTTTTGATGGTTCTACCCTAGCATCTGGTAGTGATGATAAAACTATTCGTTTATGGGATGTTCATACAGGCCAACAAACATTTTAACTAAATGGTCATACAAATATTGTGAGGTCAGTTTCCTTTTCTCATGATGGTACCATTTTAGCATCTGGTAGTGAAGATAAAACTATTCTTTTATGGGATGTTCATACAGGTCAACAAAAATTTTAATTAAATGGTCATACAAGTTTAATTAATTCAGTTTCCTTTTCTCCTGATAGTACTACATTAGCATCTTGCAGTAATGACTAAACTATTCGTTTATGGGATGTTAACACAGGAGAACAAAAATCTAAATTAAATGGTCATACAAGTTATGTTTTTTC